TGGTTTCAACAGATAGTGATAGAATACGTACTTCTGGTTACCTCTTGCATTGCAACCCAAGACACCTTCCCAGGCACATGCACTCCCTTAGAAATTTTTTTACAAAATCATAGAACCATGGAATGAATTGGGTTGGAAGGAACAGTAAATGTCACCTAGTTCCAGCCCCCTTGCCATGGGCAGGGTCACCTCCCTTTAAAGCAGGTTGCTCAGAGCTCCAACCAGTCCTCCCTGGGCAACCTGTTCCAGTGCCTCAGAAAGCTCACAGAACCTGCCTTATTTCAGTTTAAAGTTATTATTCCTTGTCCTATCACCACGAGCCCTTGTCAAAAGTTTTCTTGTAGGTCCTGTTAGGTATTGCATACCATCCTGTTTGAGGAGGACAAATGCAGTATATTAGGTTATCAGGATTTTGGGGATTCAAAGAGTTTTTCAACAAGTAGATATCATTTGTCTCCTCACACTTGATCATGTCATAGCTCCCTAAAAATTAGGCAATCAAATAGATAGATTAATTTGCCATAGTATTGGTAGGGCTGGGGGTGGCAACTGGGAGATCAGGTGACTTAATGCTTGGACTTAATTCTTCAGTGTTGGCTACTAGAGGGTCTGTGGAGATCCGATGCTTCAGACCCAGAAAGCCGCCAACCTTTCCAGAGAGAGAGTCCCACAAGGGACTGCCTTCTAGGGTGGTCTTCTGGCAGGTCTCCTAGCCGCCCGATACACCTCACCAAGCAGTGGCCTGTGGCCACAAGTGATCAGCTCTGATCAGTGATTTCAGCTCAGCGATTCCAGCTCTGCTTGCGAGGCCATCCCAAGCCAACTCAGGGACAGAGAGATGGGAAGTGTCATGGCAAATTCCACAGAGATTTCTTTATTATCCAGCAGCTCTGTGAAGGGAGCCAGGGACAACAGCTCCCTCGAGAGCTGGGGCAAACTGGGGTTTTTATGGGGGAAAGCAAGGGTGATACCAAGGGGGAAAGACCAATGGATTACAAAGGATTAACATGAGTACTAGGGCATGGTGGGATCACTGAAGCCTTTGGGGATAGCTCACCATGGTAAGAAAACATGTGCTAAGGAGCATCCTTCCAGGAGGGTTGAGATAAGCTAATCACAGCCCATTCGAGACACATTCCATTCAAGGCAAGGCCGTGGGCAGGCCCATGGGCCTCCACACTGCAGGTCTTAGCTGTGTGTGTCCCTGAAGTACTGGTTATTATGAGAGGTTTTGGACTGCACTGTTATCTTATTTTTCCTGTTATTTTCTAAGGCAAAGCCTCAGAAAGTTTAAACAGGTGGTGGACTAGTTTTCTTTATATTGTTAACATAGTATAAAGTGAACATACATTTAGTTTACTAAACACTAGTCTTCTGGAAGCACAATGGAAAAGTTTGTGAAAATATCTGATTTTTACAGCTTGAGACCAGGGGAGGCTGAAAGACAGAGACATAAGTGAAGTGCACTCCAGCACAGCGTGGTGAGACAAGGCTTGGATAATCACTCACAGCTGAACTTTAGACCTGTCTGCAGACTCAGGAGGTCTTCCAAACCTGTGTCAGAATTCTGTTATATTACTATATCCACAGATTCTCTTTTTACTAGTGAACATTGATGCCAGTGTGTAGAAAACAAACTGAGAGTTTTTCTAAAATGACATCACCACTGCACCAGAGACTACCAGCAATAAAGGATGCAGCTTTGTTCAGTTTGTTCCCAGCCATTTCGATGTTTTGCTGCTCCATCTACATAAAGCTAGGTGTGTTCAGCAAGCTCCTTCCTTCATTTGGTGTAAGTGATGTCACTTTTTAGAAGCCAATCTCTTGCTATGAAACCTTTCTAGTGCATGAGCTGGCAGCTGTTGCCCATTGCAAGTCAGAAAGTAACATAAAACGTGCTTAACACTGAACAAAAAGTAAAAGTGTCCCGATTTGCAGAGCTGACTAGCCTGACAAGATTTTGTGGTGCTGTAGGAGTACTTTGTGACACAGTTGATACGTTATAAATACCAAATTTTGTAACTGGTCTGATATTGGTTTTATGTTGTCCTGGGGTTTTTTTTACTTTTTGATGGATAGAATATGATTACACCAAGAGAGCCCTAGTGCACCTCCCCTCCTAACCACTGCTATCGTTTGTGCCATATTTATTACTGAATGGTTAGTAATTAACTATAGTATTTCTTTTAGGGGTGTGAGTAATGTGTGGCTTTTACTCTGCTAGAATGGCTCCACTTCCAAAAATGCATGTACCAGGTGGGTGACACCTTCAGAGGACCTGTCAATTTACCTGAACTGCTCTAACTGCCATGACATATTAAACACAATCTGAGGTTTCAAGCCATGAGTGCCATCTGTTCTGTGTCAGATCTATTTTTTTAAATCAGGAAGATCTGCTTGTTTTTCACCCCATCACCTGCTGCGTTTACCTCACTTTTATTTTATGCTCTCTTCAAGGACTGTGAAGAGCAGTTTGGAATAGAAAAGGGAGGCTGAATCCTGCTTTGCCATCATATTGAGCAGCAGCAGGAAAAAAATTTATCCGGTTATGGTGGGATGACACAGCTGAGGCAACTTGTGCAGTGCAGCAAGGTGTGTGGGCTGCAATAGCTAGTGTTACTTCTTTCCTTCTCCTTCACTTCTCAGCTGATGCAGGGAGGTGCCTCGCTCTTGCTGCTCAGCTTTCACTGCTTTATGGAATCAAGACAGAGAAAATTAAGAAGACATGCAACAACATTCAATAGGAGGGTTTCTTACAGTGCTTTCCCCTGACAGAAGTCTCTTCTGGCCTCGACAAGGGGATTGTCAACAGCAGACTGAAGAGCCTCATCACTGCTGGGCAGCCTGGATAGACTGCTGTAGTCACATGTCCATCACACCACGGGACTGGAGGCACTGCTGGCAGTCCCTAGTCCAATGCCACACTCAGAGCAGGGTCACTTTGAACAGCTTTTCATGTGCTATCAGGAGTTTCCTGTACTTTGGGTCCAATTGCTTCTGTCACTGGATATCACTGAGAAAAGTCAAGTTTTCGTCACTCTTTAAATACATAGGGATAATATCCCCCATTGGCATTCTACAGGATAAACAGTCCTATTTCTTTCCCTTTTGCTTTGTGTGAGAGATGCCCTGGTCCATTCATCATCCCTGTGGCCCTTTTCTGTATTCCTGCAGTCTGTACTGTCTCTTGCATTGATATGCCCAGGAGTGGACTTAGCACTCCAGGCATGTCACACTGGTGACAGGACTGTGAAGCTGGTGCATTGTCAGTGATGGATCTCACTCACCTCTGAGTCCAGGGAGCTTGCCAGGGAATTCTGCTCTGTGGTATGAAAATCATATGCATTATTCTTGTTGAAGAGTTAGATATCAAATAAATTCACAACACTTCTGCATTGTTATGTTCATTTTATTTATATTTGTATTTTACTGTATTTCACAATCCATTATGATTGGTTTGGAAAGTAAACTTCCCTTTTCTTTTAATGACTACAAGAGTTAATGTTGGTCTCACTTCCCTTACACTTGAACAATTATTTAATAACAAACAGAACTAAAAGAGTCTGAGACAAATGTGACATCATTAAAAAAAATTAACACACCAAACAGAGCTGATGTATGGAGGAAGAAAAGGAATCAACCACTTATTTCTTAGAAAGATGCATTCCCCTTAAAAATTACCAAAATTAAAAAAAAATGTATTTTATAGGAAAGAGCAGGGAGTGTACACGTGCATATGCTGATGCTTCCACATCCATATCCCCAAGCACACACACACACATATATGTCTATGTATAGATATGCATACATGCACATACACAGACACACATGTATTAGACTGGACAAGTAATATATTTTTTCCCTGGGAGAAAATTATTATAACTTTTAATTATATTAGTTGCATCTGTCTTTTAAATTTATTAAAACATAGAACAGAAACTACTTTAAGAGCTCTAACATATTCAGCTAAACCTTGGAAATCACTGCCTATTTAGCATAAAACACATTGAAAAAATCAGCTTTGATAACTTTTTATTTAAATGTACACCATCATCAGGTTCTTAGTGCTGATTTGGCTTGCTTGGCCTTTGGAATGGTCACCATAATTATTAAAAATGTATTTTATTAAAAATTTCTTCAAATTTATATGAAAAAATGGCTGAATACTAACCACTTATCTATAGTGGGTGCCCAGTGTTATCCCCTTTCTAAAGCCCATAGAGCATACTTTACTACAGAAATCATATTTTTATGTTACATGCAGTGACTTCTGTTTTGCTGCTCTTCCAGGTACCTCCTGCTCTCTTGCTTTTGGTCTTCTGAAGAGATGATAAACAGCCAGCCCTTGATGATCTCTCTTCAGAGGGCATAGGTCAGAGATAGCCCTTCTGCAGTCACAGAGCGAGGCAAGACAGCCACTTTTTGTAACAGCACTGTCCTTGGGGAATCTAAACGCATACTGAAAGGCTGGCGCTGAGACCTCCCACCCAGAAAATAAGAAACCTGCAGAGAAGGTAGAAAGTGACAGGAAGAAGCAGCTTTTTGTGAGAGGGCTCCAAAATGTGTAATTTATTTAACCCAAAGGTGCTCAAAGATCCTTTTAGTCTGTTGTTTATAGTAGAGACCTGACAAGAGTAGCTTCCCAATTACAGAGAGTATCACCCTCTGTATCCTCTTCACAGATTAGGAATTTGTCATCACCCAGGACAATGTTCACCTATTAAGTTTCTGCACATCTTGAGTTGTTGTCTGTAGGTCCCCGTAGAGTTACATGTTATCTGTTTTCCTCCTCTTTCCCTGCCTTATTCTTAATGAATAAATTCATAAGGAGAATCAAATAACTTGCCTGATATAACTTCTGCTGCTTTACAACCTGAGTTCTTGGAGAAAACTGCTAAGTTTCGTTAGTCCTCAGCTTCTCTCAAATTTGACAGAAATCACCAATGTCACTGCTGTGGATCAGTAGAAAAACCCACCCTTCAAAAGACCTTGGGACTCCATTTTTTTATAAAACTTTAGGGAGATTATGTTCAGATTTGTGTTATATTACAGTTGTCACTAATCTATGTTCACACAAAACAGAAGTTCATTACAAAATCTCTTATTACAGAGACAATAAATGAAAGCTCTTAAGTCTTCAACCACTGAAGTCAAGTTTGGTGTCATAGGAACCTTTCACAACCATTCATTACTTCAGAGTAATGCTGAGTTTCAGTCAGTTGAAATGATTCCTCTATAAAGGCATTATAAAGTGCCTTGAAGCTTAACACAGCAGCATATTTAGAGGTAAATATCAGGGAAAAAAAAGTTAGGTAAGAAAAACAAAATCTGACCGAAGAACTAGAAAAGTGACTAAAAACCCACAACAAAACAAAAAAATCAAAACAATGCTTCTTTTCTCCCTCTCCTCCCCCCACCTTTCCCAATCTCAGAACAATATGGAATGCTGGCATTACTAGGAACATACATAATAATATCAAGTACAAAAAACATTAACAAGCAAAACACGATTCTGTCTGTTTGTGGTTCTGAGAAAATTACTAATGAAGCTGGAATACTTGATCACAAGATTCAAGAGGAATCTGCCTTTCTCTCTGTATGGAAAGGGGTAAAATGATATTTCTATGTAGTGATGCCACATTCCAAACATTCATATTTGCTTATCAGCTATCACAGAGTGGAAGAGGAGAAATGGCCCGTGGTGTGCAATGGCCAGGTGGCTGAATAGCTGTGCTGCAGAAGCAAGAGTACCTGTTGGGAGATACTCAGCAGAAGGCCACACCTTATCATGTGGAGGAAAGAAAACTCCATGTTCTTCCTAGCAGAATCAGCAACCAAAACAAGTACACATTTCTCTCCTTTGAGCTGGTTCATCTCCTGTGTAACAACAGGCTTTTACCCTTACAGGGATTTTGGCCAGGTCAAGCACAAATCCTCTAGGGTTCAACTCTGCACTTCACTCTTTTGCCTTTTTCAGTGTGACATACTAGAAAATGAAACACATGGGTTTGTGGGAAAAAACCCAGCAATTTAAAAGAAAACACTCAAACTGATAACTTCTACATTCACAAAATTTATACATTTACAAAGAGGTAACTGAGAAAAAATTCTGCCTAATCTTCAGACTGAGCCGCAGTGAATAGTCTCAAAGCAGCATATGGTAAGTGGTGTAATAAAATGAAGACTAAATTATGCATAAAACTCCATGTTTTTCAATTTGTGTGGTGATTTTCATCTTTATGCACTAAATTCCACACCTTTGCATCTTTATGTTAATCTTTCAAATACAGTGCTGTCCAGACTGAGAACACCACGTGGCAACTGTCCACGGTGGGAGTGGAATTCAAGTGCACTGCATCAGCTACAGCTCCATCTCAAAGAGTGCCACAGCCCAGGCACTTCGGAGGAATTCAAGAAACCCTTTATAAGGAATTGAAATTGTAATTCCAGGTAGTTGCCTGCTACGTGAACGACCCAAAAGAAGTTATATTTTTCATCTTCTTTAAAATGAGGCAAGCTCAGAATTAGCTGTGGCAATGAATTCCAGAAGCCAGTTATATCCTGTAGAAGTGCCAGCAGAGCAGAAATCATCTCCGTGCGCATTCCAATCCCCAAAGAATTAACCTGATTGCAAAGACTACCAAAGGAGGTAGGAACACTTAGGTCCATCCCCTTAAAAGCAAAGGATACTGTGGCTTGCGTAGTTCTAGAGATGCAGAAAAGCCCCCATCATAGGTACACCAAATGTTCACAGACAAAAGCACTTTTCCCCAGCAAGAATGCAATCACTGACATTTTACAAGCCCTGATTTAAGTAAGCAGGCAAGTAAATCAAAATGTGCTACAACACTGAGCTAGAAAATACTTGCTGCTATTCTTTAGTGTCTGCTACCTCTCTATTTCAAATGTTCCAATCACTGGATGTTCCATGAGATTTTCTTCTGTTTCTGTCTCAGAAGATGTAAAAACATACCTAAACTTCAAGGAAAAGGCAGCAACAGGGTTCAGCACTTACTCAGGAAAAAGTAACTTTTAACAATAACACAAGTGTGCAAAACTCGTTACAAGGCACAGAATACATAGATGTTTTCCACTTGATTCTCATCTATTCAGAAGTATTTCTCTTGTGATACCTCTGTTAAATATCACTTTCATTTTTGAATTTTTTTTTTTTTTTTTTCAGAAGAAAGCCTCCTCAGGGCATATTTGGCATAGAAGACTTGATTTGCTGCAATGGATCCGTCCAGACTGTTTATACATGTGTTAATTAGCTTGGATTAAGTTCTGGAAAAAAAATACTGTGTTAGCCCAGTGTAAAAAGCAAGTCACATTGCTGGGCACTGCAACAGAGACCTTCAATTAGTCCCTCCTGATCTAATCTTTTTTACTAGTCATCTTTATTGTATCTTCCTGAAAGTTACTCAAATTAGATTTATTTTCTCAGAAAGGATGAAATTTTAGGGTGATTGAGAACGATCTTTTTTCTAAGGGGATAAAAGGATAAGAAATTACATGACAGATGGGTGTACTTCATAGGGTATACTTCAGGAAAATGACTGTAGCTGTTTTTTTATGTAATACAGAGATACTGAGAACACTTGCTGTCAGTCACAGCATGAATTCAAGGAAAATACTTCAGCACTGCAGAGCTATATCTGGATCCCCGTTCATGTAGTTGAGATCAGAAACCCTCCCATTGTCATTAAATTATGAGTCACAATGAAGCACAAACTGCCTGTTCAGATGAAGGACGTGGCTGTCTTCCCAGAAACACAAGGCTTGCTGGCATTTGGGAATGGTGGCCAAGCCTTGGGTGGCCTGGAGTGGGGTAGGAGGCATTAAAGGCTAAGTCTTCTTTGATTCCAGAACCTCTTAATAGTCTGTTGCAGTTAGGAAAGAAAGCACATACCAAGAAATAAAAGAAAAAGAAAGCAAAGTTTCAGGTTTCATTTTGAAACAACTAGTCTGGAGGTCAGCCCAGGGACCTGAATTTCAGTAAAGCTTTAGCAGCAGGGGCACTGTCTGCTATTGTTTATGGTTGAAGAGGTTCTTATCCCTGATAAAGGTGCTAGAACTGATATGATTCTTCCTTTTCTCAGTAATCCATGTTGCTCAGATGCAGTTCCTAGCAGCATATTTAGTGTTAACAACATTGACATTAGAGAGAAGCGTTTGTGACAGTTAACTGTGGTTCTCAACTTTCCTGCTTTCAGGAATTAACAAGCAGGCTCAGTCCATGAGAGCTGTCATGTTCTTGAACTCTGCAATAGGAAGGAAACTGGACTTCGCTTTTCTTCAGTGGGTAGTTTTTAGTGACACATCCTGGTTGTCATCTCTTTCTGTAAAACAAGAAGGGGAAATAAACGGCATTTGTGATAAAGTGTGCACAGGCCTCTTCACTGTTAATATTTCTGCAGCTCTGCAAATTCATGTGGTTTTATATGGCACTTGTGTTTCTGCCCCTTTCTGTCACTTTCAAGGACAATTAACATAATCGGCAAGTAAAATACAATATTTTGTCACTTTTGACAGCTTTTATAACCTAATAAATCCCCAGCCATGTCAGGTAAATGGTGCTACATCCCCCCTGCCCAAAGAAATAAATCAACTATAAATGCCAGAAGCCTTTTAATTTAATAAGAAAAAGCATTCAAATAATTCTCATGGAACCTGCAGCCAACAGGAGTCCTAGATACACCTTCTCTGCCTAGTTATTTCTGCTTACCCACAGGCTCAAATGGTACAGGAACACAAACCTTGAGGACTTGACCAGAGCTGTGGCATTCTTCTCTAGGATGGGGTTTTGAACCATTCACAGACTGCATTAGGAACTGGGGTTCGGGATCCATGTAGAACTTTATTTGATCTGATTTACAAGCACTCTGATACAAACCCTCTGGAAACTGGCTGCCCCATTCCATAAAACTCTGTATTTGTGAGCAGGTTTTCTGTAAAGGCATTATCTAAACAACAGCCATCCACATAAAACAGATCACACAGCATTCACCTTGGAAAATCGACTAAGATTTATCAAGTTATCAGAAGTCTCTGAAAAAATCTCATAAATTGTAACAAATTATTCAAGCTAGCTAAAAGTCATTACGATCTAATGCAAACTGCTTAAGGACAATTTTGTAACTGTATCTTACTCTGTGTTTCACAGATTACTTTTCCATCTAGAATCCTACACATTCTCCTCCCTTTCCAAACCTTGAAGTAGTTTTTCTTTCTTTCATATTTATCTTGTATTACTTGTTATTTTGTTGGCATGCATGTAACAGAATGGAATGCTGCCATTTGTTATAAAGACAATGGTAATTAGTACGGGAATTTATACAGTAATAATGTGATCGCCACAGTGATATATACAGTAAGGTAAACTAGCAGTGGCTTCTCTAATTTGTTAAAGATGAAAAAGCTGACTGTTCATGGAAACATCTGTCTCTTTTTCTCCCTAAATGTTTTGTGGCGCTTTTTTGTGTTTTTTTTTTTCCCTTAAATATCTGTGATTAGGTTTATTTCATTAGAGCAACAAACATGAAATGCAGAACTAAATAAAATTCAGCACAGTGTTGGACAGCTTCCTACTGAAGATTAATTAGATGTTAATGTGTTTCAAGGCAGTTTTTGTCTTTGGTGGCTCCTAATTTTACACACACTCAGTATCTGCATGTTCCTAGTGTACTTCCTATAATCATGGGTGATAGATCTGTGAGGTAAAACACCACAACTTCCTTCTGCAACTGCTGCTGAACAGTGATTTTCAGTCAGACTGTATCATCTTACCCTGTTATAAAAGCAGTCCAGGGAGTAATGTGGACCCTATCAGAGCCATTGTAAACTGGGCCACTCTCCTTCAGACACAGAGGGAGGCAAACTGCAATAGCATCAGAGGTGGGAGTCTAGATATGGATCAAAGTGCCCAGAAAAAGGGCAGAGTAGAAAGAGTAGGAACTTATATGACACATGCATAAGATGTAAGAGGGCTTTAAACCAGTTTGCCATGAAGCATGAATATATCATGCCATTTCTAATTTCTTTCTGGACGCAGAATTTATTTTTTATAGTAATACAATTTCTCCCCAGGCTTCTCTCTCCCTTAATTTCTGATTTTTAATTTTTTTTTTGTTATACAGTTACATTCACAGTCTTCTCCCTAGATCCTATTTCCCCACCCTGTCAGTATAACATTGCTGAAAATGGCTCTGTAACTTTCTCCCTGCAAGGCCTTCCCAACAGCTGCTTCGCTAAACTTTTTGGAAATCTCACCGAAGTTGTAAAGTAGGAAAAATGTTTAACCTTAAATCTCTGATCCATAGAAACATTCTCCGTATTGATCTATATTGTTACTGGTAAATGAAGGACACACAAGTACAGTCACATTGTATTCTTGCACATATGTGCTTGATTTCACCCAATAATAGTGAATTAGATGTGCTTTAAAAAAAGAAAATGTCCATGATTCCTGTGATAGTGAATTGGTGCAAGCTTTGTGGGAGTGACCCACTTCTACTTGTTATTTTCTTAGAGGAATTCACAAAACAACCAGGAGACAGTTTCTCAAAGAGGTTGATATAATTTGGATGCTGGCAAAGAAAAGGTTAGCTTCACTCAAAATGCTGGTGAGGAGAGGAAGGGTCATATCCTCAGTGTCCAGTGTTGGCTGTGTGGCAGCATCAGGCATACTGTGTGCTGCTGAGCCTGATACTGAACACGCTGCTCCTACTTGTCAGACTCTGCCCCCTCTGACATGCTGACCTTCAAAAACTGACCACCCACTCTTCACAGAACTTGCTGGCATATCTTTCACTGATTCTGATGGGCACCAGAGAACTTAGCACACAGTCCCCCCTCCACTTAACTCTGCGGAACAGTCCCTCTCAAACCTCACCAAAGACCCGATCCTTACTTATTCTGCTGCGGCACAGCCTTAGGTGAGCACTGTCTTTAATAAAAAGCAGAATGTTCTTCAGTGTCTCCTGAGTCTTCTAGGGTTTGTGCATCTCTGAAATGTCAATGTTTATTTTAAATTGGGGAAGGTGTAGAAGTATGTTCTTGACTAACAATTATTGATTAAAAGCACATATTTCCCAAACATGGCAAATGACAACCAGCTATCAACTGACTCTTCTGAAAAGGCAGGAAGACTGGAAATGCTCTTTGCCTTAAGGTACTCTGATAACCAGTCCCAGCTGGATATTGAATGAAATATAAAGTATAGACAGACAAGGGAATCAGAAAATCAAACACAGAGACACAGATAGGCACACATGAGCACTTGAAAACATATTGAAAACTTTTAAAGTCCTTCTGTGCTCATTAACAGAAACTCTCCATACCAGAGCTTTTGATAGCAGATGCACTTCCTCTTGAAAATTAATTACAAGACACTCCAGAGCATTATTCTGCATTAATACATTCATATGTGTTCCTGCTTTCAATTCTGGCTTACACAGTTAACTCAAAAAAAGAGGGCAATGAAGGTTTTTCAAATCGAAAATCCAAACCAGAAGCCTAGACCCATTGTATGCGTTGAATATGTCCAAGACCAGTAACTGAGGAGAATTTAACACAGAACTCACTTATAAGGAACATAAAGAGAAAGATTTGCTATTCTTTATCAAGTCCTTGAAGTATTTACTTACTCACTGGAATTAATGCTAGCAAGCTAACAAGCCACTCTGTAAGCATCAGGAATCTGTATGTTTTGCTACTATTTGTGATTTCATGGAAGGACACATTCCTGAATGTTTTTCAGGGAATATCAACTTGATTTCATTCACAGATAAAGGGAAAAAAAGAAATATTTAAAAAGGTAATCAATATTTATAACTGAAGAATGTCTGGTCCTCTCTCCTCCATAATGCTCCAACATAAATTTCAGATACATTCAGCACATAAATCTACACCTAACTATTTTAATTTTTAGTCTTCATTTCACCTTTAAATGAAGCAGGAGAAGAATGGAAAAAATGCAACATAGCCAGGAGTAGCTGAGGAAATCTCTTTTTAACATGACAAATTTACCTCTGGGGAAGATATTGATTGCATCTGAGTGGATTACAAGAAGAATGAATTTCCCATAAAGAATGGTGTTCTTCTAAGAAAATTTTGTTTCTATGCTTACGCAAGTATAATATATAGCTGGCAAAACACAAGGCAAACACCCTTCAAACAAATATCACCATTTTACCAGTGGACAAAAGAAGCCAGAGGCCCCTTCTGTGCAAAAGCTGATGAGAAAGTAGATGAAAAGAAAAAACAGTATAAATACTAGTGTTCTATAAGAACACCTATAAGAAAATATCTATAAGAAAAAATAATAAATGCAATAATGACCTTCATTAAAACCAGTGTTGTTTTAGCTTAAATCTTCCTTCAGTGCCTGAGTCCCATTCTCACTCCAAACCGAAGCAAAAAGCATGGCTTGACAGCTCCTCCTGCTGTCAGTTAGGAAGCCTAAGGATAATGTGGAAACATCTTAACCCTTTGACAACCGTTTTAAACGTAGTGAGGTTCTTAAATGCAAATACAAGTGTGTCAGCAAAAAAGTGGATAGAGAAACAGCATTACCTGCTGACAGGCAGGGGTACCTTGCCTGGAGGCACCCATCAGCCTGGGAGATCTGACCAAGCGGCCAAGAGCAAGGACATGCCAGCAGTGGGCACCATGCCACATCCACTTGCAAGCTTTAGGACTCCACAGGGAGCCAGCCACTCATATCTCCAAATACTGCAACCAAAAAAACCCCCCAAACCATTGCCCATTAACCACATTCTCACAGGTAAGGAACTTAGAATCTATTCAACCATGCTGTGAAGCAATGCACAGTGTTGGGCAGAAAGGCAGAAGCAGGCCTCCCAGTTTATGGACCCATGACAGTCCAATCCAACCTGATCTGAGGTTCATGACTAGAAGGCTCTGCTGAGCAACACAAGTGTCACTGGGACACATCTTTCTCCTCCCTACTCACATGGACAGAAAAGCAAGCCACAGCCACAGGGAATGTTATATGCACACAGAGAGGGCCAGTGATGCATCAATGCAGTCAGCTCACTGTCTTTTTGTAGTTCAAATAACAACTGCAGATGTAGAAGAGAAAGATTGGTTCTTCAGAGCAGGAATGGCTATGACATCTGCAGCTTTTTTGGATGTTTTCTTAACAAACCTCCTAACAGTTAACAAATAATTAACATGTGGACAAAGCTCTTTGTATCCTGATGACAAAAGAAGCTGTTTTCAATGCAATAGCATCGATCATGAGGTCTATGATCCTGTGCTGCACAAGTAATCTATATTCTACACTTTTTTTTTTTTTTTTTATGGACATTTTAGTTAG